TCACACCAGGCCTTGAGGTTAGTGATTCTTCATCCCCAGAGCTCAGGATCCTGGACCTCTCACCTTCCAGGGCCCAAGGACCTATAACCTCCCATCTCCTGGGCCTGAAAGTCAATGACACCCCACCCCCCCCAGGACCTGAGGGTCAGTGTTCCCCCAAACTCCAGATCTGAGAGTCAAACCTCCAATCTGCAGATTGGTGATGCCTCACACTCACCCACACACATCCATACCCCAGTCCTGAGGTCCATGTCCCCACATTCCCAGGTCTGAAGGTTGGTGACCTCCCCCCATAGGTATGAGCTGATGCGCCAGTGCTGGAGGGATCGTCCGTATGAAAGGCCGCCCTTTGCGCAGATCTCCCTACAGCTCGGCCGCATGTTAGAAGCCAGGAAGGTGAGAACATCTGGCTGGCCCCAGGAGGGGAGGCCAGCTCCTGGAACCTGGCCATTTAGCTCAGTTCTGAAGCCCATCAGTATCCTCTGGGATCCTAACTTTGACACCCCGTGTGTCCGTCCTTCTGCAAACTTAATGAGCCTGTCGTCTATACTTTAGCTGAGTCATTGATAAAAGTGTTGACACAAGGTCAAGCACAGATCCCTGGGTCCCTCGCCTAGAGACTTCTCCCTGGGTTGTCACTGAGCCCATCACAGACTCACACCTCGTTACTCACCTAGTCCTAACTCCATCTGACTGTCCTCTCATCCAGTCCACACATCACCATCTTCTCCCCACAGACTTTGTGAGAAACAGTTGAATGTCTTACTTGACCCTGGCCAGGCATGTTAATAATAAGTATTCTTCATAACTCTGAATTGTCTGCAGCTCTCTCCTCCTAGCCTCTGTCCCTATCCCCAGAAGATGGGCCTTCCTTTGCAAAGTCGTAGAATCTGGGGCTGGAAGGGACCCCAAGACATTTAGAGAATGTAGCTTGTTACCTGTGCCTTACTAGGGGGAGGGAGGAAGATTATTCCTAGAGGATGGTCCTAGAGCTACCCTCTGATGCCAACACCCTCCTCTCCCTCTCTCTCAGGCCTACGTGAACATGGCACTGTTTGAAAACTTCACCTATGCAGGTATTGATGCCACTGCAGAGGAGGCCTGAAGGTCTGTGGTGGCTCTGTCCTGCCTGCTGACCCTTCAGCCCCCTGGTGGACAGATGCACACAAGTCGACCTCGTCTAGCATGAGACCACAAAGCTCCTGTGACCTCGGACCAAACCAGCCTCAGTGAATCATATTTTTAGTTTGGTGAATAGAAGGGGTACAGATGGCAGTGCCAGGACCCCTGTGCCAGCTCTGGACAGCTCCTGCTGCCTTTCCTCCAGTGCACCTACTCCTCCTCCATTGGATTATTACTTGCCCCTCCCCAATAAGCAAACCTCTCTCTCTGCATTTACTCCTCCCCCTCATGCAGATACCTTCCCCACGTAGCCCTGCCCCCTCCTATGCCCTCACTGGGGGCAAATAGGGCCAATAAAACATTGGTTATGCCCCAGAGTCTTGCTATGGTGGAATTCTCTCTGGCCTTACCCTTAGATTGGGGGTGGGGGAGGGCAGTGAGAAAGGTTAGATGAGTCAGATATGATCCCAGGGTGGCTACTAGGACTCCTGGAGCCTGAACTTGGGCCCTGCCTCACACCATCACCCTCCTGGGGAATGATTCTCCGCTACATCAGGTCAAGAAAATTTATTTAGCAGCTAGATGGAGGATGGGTCAGAGAGGAGAGGAGAATATGGGTACCACTGGGAGATGGTCAAATTGGTCCAGGCAGACATAATGAGGGCCTGAACAAGAGTGGCAGCTGTGGAGGGGGATGGATGGAGATCTGACAACTGATTGGATGGGTGGGACAGGCAGTGAGGCAGTCAAGAGTCAAAGGTGACTCCAAAATAACAAATCTGAGTAACTGGAGGGATGGGGAAGAAGGTATAGAAGGAGATTTGGAGAAGGGCTGGGTTGGGGAGGGAAAGCACGAGTGTCCTCTTAGACATGTTGGGATTGGGAAGCCAACTGGACTTCCAGGTAGAGATGTCCAGGCAGCCATTAAAGGGACAGCAAGCCATTAAAGGAACTCAGGCTGGGAGTCACCTGCCCATGGAAAGGAGTTGACTAAGTGAGGGAGTGTTTTAGGTGAAGACCCAGGAGAGAGCACTGAGTGAGACCCACAGTAAGAAGGAGGGACAGAGGGCACTTGTGACACAGATCCAGACAGTGGGAGAGTGCCTTCCATTCAGAGGTCAAGATACATTTTCCAGGCCAATTCAACCCAAGCAACGTTAAGCAGATGTCTCCTCTGTGCCGGCACTGTCCTGCCTGGTGGGCTCACAAAGACAAGAGAAACAATTGTGCCTGCCCTAAAGGAGCTGCACATACCACATTATGTGTGTGTGTGTGTGTGTATGAATGCGTATATATGTATATATTTATGTGTGTATGTGTATGTATATGTGTAAATATATATATTATATATACACTCATACAGAAAATATTTTAATTTTTATTTATATATTATATTTTGTTTTATTTATTTTTATTACACACACACACACACACACACACACACATACATATATGCCCATTAAGGGGGAAAGCAGAGAGCACTGACAGCTAAAAGAACCCAGGAAGGTTTCTGCTAGGAGAGGGCATGGGAGACAAGTGCTGAAGGATGCTGGGAATTCGGAGAGGTAGAAAGCACAATCAATCAATAAACATTAAGAGCCTACTATGTGCCAGGCATAGGAAAGACTGCCTATGGAAATGCAGGGAAATGGAAGATGGGGTACTAGGTTTGAGGATGAGCACGCTGGCTGATTGGGCTGAAACAGGAAAGTGTGATGGGAAGAAGAGGAAACAGTGTGACTAAGCCTAGGAAGCTGGGTTGGTACCAAAGCCAGAAGGTGTGTATTGGATCCTAGGGAAAGAGGGAGCCACTGACGTGTAAAGCAGGAGAGCTGGTCAGACCTATGCTTTAGGAAAATCACTTTGGCAGCTACGGGAAAGAGAGGGGAAGGAGGAGATACAGAGGCTGCAAGACCCCCCTCCCCAAGGTTATTACGATAATACAAGCAAGTGATGATAAGGGCCTGCACCAGAGTGGCAGCCATGTGAGAAAAGGACAGATGCAGGAGATGTTGTAGAGATAGAAACAACAAGGTTTGCAAGTGATTTTACAAAAATGATCTCATTTGTATCTCACAGTAACCCTGTGAGGTAGACTTCATCACTACACCCATTTCACTTGGGTCAATACTTATGAGGAAACTGAAGTTCAAAGTAATGACCCAGAGTCGCAGAGCTCCTAAACGCCAGAGATGGGATTCCAAAGCCTTACTGCAAAAGACTAAGAGAGATCCAAACAACAATAGCCCAGACAAGTCAAGACTCTGCTTGAAGACCCTCGTGACAGAGAACTCAATACCTCCTCTCATAAGAGCAGAGACTCTCAGAAGAGACCTTAGACTATGTTTTCAGTTCAGTCCTTTTTCAGTTGTGTCTGACTCTTCATGACACCATTTGGGATTTTCTTGGCAAAGATACCAGAGTGATTTGCCGTTTCCTTCTCCAGCTCATTTCACAGATGAGGAAACTGAGGCAAACAGGGTTAATTGACTTGCCCAAGGTCACACAGCTAGTAAGTGTCAGAGGCTGGATTTGAACTCAGATCTTCCTGACTCCAGGCCTAGCAGTCTATCCCCTGTGCCACCTAGTTTCCCCTCGGAGTTTGGTAGTCTTGTCATTATTGCCTCAAGCATCCTTTCTAGAATAAACCTGACAAATGGGCATTACTTAAAAACTCCCAAGGAAGAGGAGTCTGTTTCCTCCTGAGGCAATCCCTTCTACCTTCAGAGATCTCTGATCCCGAGGAAGCTTTTCCTGGAATCAAGGCAAAATCAGTCTCTTTGCAGCTTCACCACCACCAGTGCCACCTCCTCCACCACCACTTCCACCAGCACCACCACCACCGCCACCAGTGCCACCTCCTCCACCAGCACCGCCACCACCACCACCAGCACTACCACCACCAGCGCCACCACCAGTGCCACCACCACCAGCAGCAGCAGCAGCAGCAGCAGCACCACCACCACCACCACCACCAGCACCACCACCACCACCACTACTACCACCATTGTCCCTGGTTCCTCTCAAGACAGCTACCTGGGTGGAAAGGGTGCTCAGTTCCCAGAAGGTTTACCATCAGGGTACAGGGAGTGATAAAAGGGTTAGAGGTACAGGGAGGAGCCACAGAGTTCTCACAGGTGACCAGGAGAGGCTAAGTAGGTAGCCAACATCTCTAACTGGGCTAGCAGCATTAGGGAGCTCTGGGAGCAGGATTCTGGGACCCCCTCAACAAGGTGGCACAGTAGATAAAGTGCTGGGCTTGGAGTCATGAAGATCTGAGTTCAAATCTGGCCTGAGATAATTACTAGTTGTGTGACCTTAGGCAAGTCACCTAACTTCTGTCTACCTGAGGTTCCTCAGCTATAAAATGCCAATAACAACACCTCCCTCCATGGGTTATTGTGAGGCTCAAATGACATAATAGTTGTAAAATCCCTTAGCATAGTGCCTGGAACATAGGTACTACACAAATACTATTATTATTTTTTACCCCCGAAGAGACTGGGGCAAGGGAGATGCTAACCTGGACCTCCTTGGCCCACAGCCTATGGGTAGGGGGTGGCCTCTATTGTACTGCTATAGGGTTGGGGATGAAGGGGGGACAAAGAACCAGGCTATCCCAGTGCCCACCTCCTTCCTCTCCAAGTCTACCCCACCTTCCCTCACAGGTCCCCAGACTTCCTCCTCCCAGACCCCAAGCCTGGGGCCCCAGTGTGGTCAGGGATCAGTTCCTCTCCGGCCCCTGGGCTGCCCAGAGCTGGGGCTGGGGCTGGGAAAGGGAAAGGGACAGGACGTAGGGCCATATCTGACAGGAACCTGTGGGCCTGGGGTAGAGAAAGAGCTGGGGCCCAGCTTCCTGAGGGGAGGACCAGGGTCGCATAGCCCACATGCCCAAAGGATGCCAGCCTGGGTGTTCATCCTAGTCATCTGCTGCCTCTTCCTCTTGCCCAGCGGGGCTACCACCCATGTCAGCAATGAAGGTAAGGGGGCAGAGCAGAGGCCCTGTGTGTTCCCCCCACAAAACCCTCCCCCAAAGCCCTGGCATCATAAGGTAAGGGAGAAAAAGAAAGGAAGGAGGTGAGGGGGACAGAGGAGAGGTAGAAGGACACAAGGGGAAAGGGACAAGGGACAGGGGGAGGAGGGAGAAAGAGTGAGGGACAGAGAATAAGGTGAGGAGAGAATGAGAGGGAAAAGGAGGAGATACAGGGAAGAAGGGCAGAGTGAAGGGGAGATAAAGCCTGGAAAGAGGAGGAGAGAGAGAGCAGGAGAGGCCTGGAACATTGACTTTCCTGGGGGTGGTGACACTGTTGAGGGGGAGGTTAGGAATATTCAGCCAGGAACTGAGCGGCAATAAAGTACCTACTGTGCTTACCACTGTGGGAGACGCAAAGACTGCAGCCATATAATACACAATTTCCCCCGTCACTTCATCTGAAGGGGGCTAACATAGGGTATGTTGGAAAGTTGTGACTGACCAGGGCATCTACAGAGGCATCCTACAGGGGGTGACCTTTGAGTCGGTCTGGAGTTCAGCAGGAGAAAGGGAAGGGAGAAGAGCATCCCAGGCCTCAGAAACCTGATGGCACAGAGAGAGAAGAGGGCAGGACATTCAGGATAGGATGAGAGGAGACCTTAATTCTCTAAGTGCGGGGACCTCCCTCTACCAATGCAATCTGGCACCTTCTCTAAATCATACAGAGGCTGAGACATCTGCCTAGAGCCCTGAGAGGGTGAGAGTGACCCAGCCAGTAGGCATCAGATGGGAGACTCGAACCCAGGTGTTTCCAGTCCTGCTGTTAGCTCTCTATCTGTTAGGCCAAGCTGCCTCTCAAATACCCAGGGCACAGGAGTAGGGGAGCTGGGTTTAGGGACTCAAGATTTAGAATAGAAAGGGAGTATCCAGTCCTTCAAAGACCCAGACTCAGGGTCATCCAGCAAATAGCAGAGCTGTGCTCTTTCCATGCTGCCTCTCAGATTCCTCTCTCAAACCTCAGTTTCCTTAACTGTAAAATGGGACAATAATGCTTGTACTCCCTACCTTTCAGGGTGAACCTTAAGGGCCAATGAGTAAGCTATGAGAGGCAACAATGGGGCCTGGTTGGTGGCTGGAGAGCTGGCCTTGAGGCCAACAAGGCCTGAGTTTGTCTCTGACCCCTACTGACAGTATGACCTTGGACAAGTCACCTAACATCTCAGTTAGACTCTCTAAGGCTAGAAGTGGCAGAGAAAGTGCCACGCTGCATCAGTAGCGGGAATCTCTTCGTCTGGGAGTTCCCTAGACAAGGAAATCACTGCTATAATCCTATTATTATTAATGAGTTAAGGGACCAAGTTTCACAGGAATGTTTATTCAGGGGCAGGAGTGACAAGAGACAAAGCTAGGATGATGAACTGATTCCAAATATGAAGGCCTTGAATGCCAGGCAGAGGAATCTGAATCTGAGGTGGGAGGTAATAGGGAGCTGGCTTTATCCCAGCAGTTCCTTTGATGAGTTAACCTTGTTTCTTCTCCTTGGTGGTTCGAATCCTGGGACCATCCAGAAGCTGCAAGCACTTCCTGGCCCTCTAGAGGCAGCTAGATGGCTCAATGGATAGAGTACTGGGCCTGGAGTCAGGAAGACCTGAGTTCAAATGTAACCTCAGATACTTACTAGCTGTGTGACTCTGGGCAAGTCACTTACCCTGTTTGCCTTAATCCACTGGAGAAGGCAGTGTCAAACCATTCAAGCCCTAGCAACTGTATTTGATGTGCTGTGATCCACGGGTCACAAAGCGGCCCACCTGACTGAACAACAACAGTACATTGAGGGTTTCTGGTTTTGTTTGTTAACAAAGGAGTGACTTGATGCTATCTAGGGATGAGATCTGGGAAGCAAACACTGCCTCCTCCAGAAAGCTGGCTGGCACGCTCTCCCTTGGCCCTTTTCATTCTGGGCCGTGATTTAGTTGTGCTCATAGCCCAGGAACATTGGACAGAGTTCAATACAGGATCAAGTGTCTAGCTTGCTATCCTTTCCTCAGGGCCAAGGGCCCAGGGCCAGCTCTGCTCCAGACTGAATTCCATGCTCTGCACACTGGACAAACATTTATTAAGCACCTAGCATATGCAGGCGCTGTGCTAAGTTATGGGATACAAAGAAAGAGAAAGGACCGTCCTGGCTCTCAGGGAGTTCACAATCTACTGGGAGAGAATATGAAAACAAACTGTACAAACAAGCTAGAGACAGGATAAATTGTCATTGGAAAGAGCTGCTACCCTTACCAGAAGCAGCTCCCAGCTCTCCCTGACTGCCGAGGTTCTTTTGCCCCAGCTCTGGCTGCCTCTGCCGATCCAAGGGGGTCCCAATTCCTCCTTTCAAAAAGGAGTTTTTACCCAGAAGTCAGTGGCAGCCTCTGTATCTGACTCAGTGCCAGAGTTATCTGCATTGTTGCAAGAGCCCAGGAAGCTCCAGGGGCCCACTGTACACCCCAAGACTACACAAAAGCCTCCCGAAGGGCCATCTGTCACCTGTAGAGAACTCCCTGTGGGGCCTGCTCAGCTCCTTGGGCCACCATCCTCCCCCCACCCTAGCCCTCCCCGGGTCTCTCCCGGGCAGCCTAAGAGCTGGACCACCAGGCACGTGCCGGACAGGCTAGCCGCCTCTGTCCTCCTGTAGGTCCAGCTCGGGATCCAGCTGTGAGCCCTATGCCTCTGGCCAGGCCAGACTGTGGGAGAGCGAACAGGCCCTGGCCCGGCCCGGCAATCCCTAATGCGCTGGCCTTGCTTTTCGCTCCTCCCCAGATGCCTCACTCCTGGCGGAAGAGCCCGAGCCACTGCGCTGCTTCTCCAAGCAGTATGAGGACCTTACGTGCTTCTGGGATGAGGTAGAGGAGGAGGAGGAGGAGAAGGAGGAAGACTGCGTTGAAGAAAAAGAAGAGAGTGGGGAGGAAGATCCAGGGCCCTACAAACTTTTCTTCGCCTACCCCGGGTGCGTGCATTCCACACAGCAATTAGTCCCAGGCAACACCCACTGGAAGGAAATGGGGTGTGGGATGGGAGACTAGGGGAGAAAGAAGTGGCAGAACCAGAGGAGGGGAGGGAGCAGGACAACGGCACATCTCCTCCCTCAGGACCTCCACCGACCTTGCCCCCACTATACTAATCTGGGAAGCCTAGAGGGGCCCCAGCGCTATCGTCTTTGGAGTGGAGGAAGGGTGGGTAGGAAAGAGAGAGGAGAAAAAGGCTACGGGGGGGGGGGTGTGAGACAACCAGAGGAGGGGAGGGCGCAGGATGGCAGCACTCTCTCCTCTGGCAGTTCCCACGCCAGGAGAGCACAGGGGCCTCCGGGGTCCCTTAGATCCGTGCCCGGCCCGCAGGGAGGAGCCCCAAAGGTGCCCACTGAGCTGCCAGAGGCTGCCCGAAGGAGGGCTCCGCCACGTTTGTCAAGTCCAGCCTGCAGACGGCGGCGTGCGCCTCTTTGCCAAGCTGACGTTGTGGGTGTGGGACCCTGCCAAAGACCGAAACCGGACCCAACGAGTGCTCAGCTTGGAAAACGTGGGTGAGGCCCTGTCTCTGTTGAGTGCTGGTGTCTCCTCACAGCCCTGTCCCCCCCCACACAGTCCTGTCCTCTCTCCTCATAGCTCTCTCCCTCCTCACTCAGAATCATAGAACTTAAAAGCTAGAAGGGACCTCAAAGGCACCAGTCCAAACAGCACCCAAAAAAGAACCCCCACTCCAACATACCCAGGCGGTGGACATCCAGCCTCCAAGAAAGGTGAAGGTGTCATCTCCTGGGATGGCCACTTTCCATTTGGGGACTGTTCTAATTGTGAGGAAGTTTTTAGTTTTTTCTGATATTGAGTCTAAACTTATCCCTTTACAACTCCTTGCCCCCTACCCCCACCCCTGGTTATTCAAGCAGAACAAGTCTCCAATATGTGCAGTCCTTCAGATACTTGAAGGCCTTCTCTTCCCCAAACATCGGGGGTCCTTCAAGCATTTGTCAACATTCTTCTTAAAATATGTCACCCAGAACTTAACACAACCTTCCAGGTGTGGTCTGAGCAAGGCAGAGTACAGAGAAACTGTTAGTTGCCTCTCCCAGGGATGCAGCCCAGAAGCTTTTCTGGCTTCCATACTTCAGTGAAAGGTGTTCAGGGGCTCTCAGTGCCCCAGAATGTTCAGGCCTCAGCTGGACAAAGTGTGTGTGGCCATCTAACCCCACCCTTCTGCCTTTGGACTCATCTTACACTCAGGAAGCTGATTTTCTGCACCCTACTATTGCAAGACTGCATTTATGCGACTGAATTTCATCTTAGTAGCTGTGACCGAAAATAATAATATTGCTAGCATTGTATAGTGCTTTAAGGTTTGCTAAGTGCTTTTAAAATATTATCAAAAATATTATCTCATTTTATCCTTACAATGACCCAAGGAGAGGTAGGTGTTATTATTTTAAAGATGAAGAAACTGGGGCAGAAAAAAATGAAGTGGCTTACCAAGGGCACTTGAGATGAAGATGGAAGAAGAGGGGGCCTGACAGCTAGTAAGTGTCTGAGGCAGGATTTGAACTCAGGGCTTCCTGACTCCAGGTGTAGCTCTCTATCTACTGCTTCACCTAACTGCCCCTTCTAGCCTGTTCAGGTCTCTTGGGCTCTTGACTTAGTAATAGTAATAATTAACAATAATCTGACATTTAGATAACAATTTTAGATTTACAAAACAGTTTATACAATCAGCCCATGGAATGCCACAAAAACCCTATAAAGGAGGTAATGCTGAAGCTCGGAGAAGAGGAATTAAGCAACCTACTTATCAGAGTCATGCCTGTAGTACATGGTGGAGAGGGGATTTGAACCCAGTTCTTCCTAATTCCAGGTCCAGTGTGCTATCCACTGAGCCACCTGGCTTGCCCATATAGCCTGTCCAGGTTGTTTAGGTTCCTGAACATCTTCATCATCTTCATCATCATCATCATCTTCTTCCTCATCATCACTGACATTTAGATAGAACTTTCAGGTCTGCAAAATACTTTATACACATCATATCCCTTGGGACCTGCTGGATCAGGAATCAGAAAGACCTATGTTCAAATCCTGCCTCAGACACTTAATAGCTGTATCACCCTGGGCAAGTCATTTAACCTCAGCTGTCTCAGTTTCCTCATCTGTCAAAAGGGAATAATAATGGCACCAGTCTGGCAGGGTATTTGTGAGAGTCAAATGAAATAATATTTGTAAATTGCTTTGCAAACTTTAAAGCACTAGTTATTAGTATTGCTAGATATGTAGCTACAGTTATGTGCTAGTTATCACCATCAAGCGTCAGCATTATTATCATTATTACCCTGTCAGGAAGGTATTACTGAGGCGGAGAGGGATTCAGCAATTTGCTCAGCATCACACCTCTAGCAAGCGATGGAGGCTGGATTTGGACCCACGTCTTCCTGATTGCAAGTCTAAAGCTCTTTCAGCTACACATTGTTGCTCTCTATGCTACACAACAACACGTTAGCTCACCCTCACAGATTCCCATCCATAGTAAAATTGATGAACCTGCCATCTATGCCTTTAGAAGCTATTACTAAAAAGGTAAAGCAGCCCAGTGTCAAACATGTATCTTTGGGACACTCCACTGAAGACCTCTTGCCAAGGTGACATTGAACTACCAGTAACAGTTCTTGGAGTCTGGTCATCCAACTAGTTCCCAGTCCAGCTAATTTTACTATCCTCTATTTCCACATCTCCTCGATTTTCCAAAGAATAGCATGAGATACTTTATGAAATGCTCAGCTGAAATCTGGATAAATTACATATATGCCATTCCCTGGATCTGTTAGTCAAGTAACCCAGTCAAGAGAGAAAATAAGGTGAGTCTGGCAGGACCTGTTCTTTAGGAAACAAGGCTGGGTTATTTGTAATTACTCTTCCTTTTCTAGTGGTCACCTCATTAATAATTTATTATAGAAATTCTGCCAGGAATTGAAGTCAGATGCAGTGACCTCAACTTTGTAAAAATCCATCCTCTTTCCTTTTTCTTCTTCAAAATATATTTTTATTTATTTCATTAAATATTTCCCAATTACATTTAAGAAAAAACTTTTGGTATTCATTTTTTAAATTCTTGAGTTTGAAAATATCACCCTCCCTCCTCCACCCTTTGAAAGGAAAGCAACATGATGTCGATTCTTATATACATGAAGTCATGCAAAACACATTTCCATATTTAGCCATGTTGCAAAGGAAAACATACAAAACAATCTTTTTCCTTTTTCAAAAATCTGCTCTTCTCCAGCCACGCAGAATTTCTCCCATTCAGCATCTTCAAGTATCACTACCAGAGATTGGATAATCCCATCCAAAGCAATTCGATGCTGGGCATCAGAGATGCAAAGGCAGAACCCAAAGTTCCTGCCCTCAAGAGGCTTACTTTCTGCTAGGGTAGCATCTGGTCCAGGTGACTTGAACCAGCACCGTGTGCTCCCTCACTAATCTTCTCTTCCATCTCAGCTCCCTCTTGGCTACTTCAGTTCAGTCCTTTCCAGGGCAAAGAGAACAGCCTTCTATTGGTTGTCATTGTCATCAACTCTTCTATCCCTTCTCTGATTGTTTTCTCTTTCCCAACAGAGTAAAAATCAAATGAAACCAAATTAAAACAAAACCCTGATGCTTCAAATTATTCTCTTGTCTTTAGCTTTCCTTGCCAATTTCCGTTTATTTCGAGCTTTCACTCTTCTGACATGGTTCTTATAGGGCCAGCTCTGTCTGTTTTTATTGATCCTGTTACTTTCCTTTGCCTCCATCTTCTGTATGTATCATTTCAAAATTGAAGTTGGTTGATAAGTTCCCCACACATTCACATTGGTCTCTTCAGACACCTTCTACTTTTCTTCCTCGTTAGAGCTATCTCCTTTTGGGTCTTCAGAATTGCATTCTTTAGAGTTTCCAACTGTTCCTGGGCTGACTTCTTCAGCAGGATTGCAATCCATGGGACCCTGCCTATCCTTTCCCTGAACCCTTGCAAATCTGCTCTCCCCGAATCGATGGTTATGCCCAGATGTTCTCTCCTTCTCTATCACAAACTCTAAGAGACAGTGGTGACTTTTCTCCACATTTCCCCTTATTCCCCTTGTCAGTGCCTTCACCTTTAGAAAGATGAAATTATCATCAATCCGTCAAGAAGTTATTAGCTTCTCTAGCTGTGTGACCCTGGGAAAGTCACTTAACCCCAAATGCCTCCAAGAAATTATGAGCTTCTACATTTTTGGAAGAGAGAGATCTCCAGCATACATTGAAACCTCCCATTATATCATCATCATATCGATATCATGCATGGTAGGACCTCTTTTCCAAACCCCTTATCTCTTTCCTGTTTTTATGCAGGCAGTCTGTAGTCTGGAAAATTTCCCTTCAATTTCTGCCTCCACTCATCTTCCCTCATGCTTTCTTCCTCTGGTTCCTGGATTTCCTTCCATGAGCTTTTTTCCCTCTCTATTCAATCCCTTCCTGCCTCTTTCCCCACGTCTTTGGAGTAAAGTATATCCTTCCTGAGCCATATTCCTATCATGGATTTCATCCCACCAAGTTTCATGATTATTAGTCATCCCATCTGTTACCTTCCCTTTGTGCCTATTTATGTATAGACAAATAAGGCCATATGTTTTTCTACCAGCCTCCTTCTTGGATGTTTTCTCTTGTGAATATTTGGGTGTCTACACTGCTTTTCTCCTTCCTACACTGTAGCTACTCACTATAGTATCTGGCTTGTTGGAAACACTGGGGCAACTTTCTCCCTTCCCTTTCCTTTTCAGTTAAAGCTCTTTAGATTTATGAGGCTCTGGGCCACTTCTCAGTCCTGTCCTCACTCTTCAGCCTTGTACTTACAATCCTGTCCATCTTCAATCTCTTGAAGGGATCGTTTATGGTGGTTTGGGGAGTACTCAAGGTGGTGGGGGGCATTTGGAGTGGCTGGGGAAGCACTGAGGTGGTCGCTCCTCTCCCCTAGGCCTGCCTGCCCCACCAAAGAACATCACTGCAATGACTTCCGGTCAGACTGGGGAGCTGCAAGTCACGTGGGAGGTGCAGCCCTCAGAAATTAGTGACTTCATGCAGCATGAACTCCAATATGGCCCTTTGGACCCCAGCAATTCTGCTCAGCCCACAGTCACAGCGCTGCTTCAAGCACCTATGTGCTGCCCATTCATGAGGTGGCCACACACCCAGCCACACCAGGCCACTGCAACCCCTAAGCCTGACCTGACTCCAGCTCAGCTTCCAGGGACCCAGTCTATACAGCAGTACCCTACCATCGAGGGACCCTCCAGAAAAGGATACATGAGCCAGGGACCTGCCATCAGGGGACATACAGTGCCACAGCGGAATGGCCCAGGGCAGCTTGGGGCCACCAGAGAAGTACCCAGATTTCTCTGGCCTCGTCTTCTCTCATCCTAGGCCCAGAACATTTCCTTTGGTTATGGACAAAAATGACAATGCAGCTCCCTAGTACCCCATCTTGAAGGCTATCCTTCCCCTCCTCTTCCCCAAGATGACATGTTCAGAGTTTGGAGATTGAGGTCTCACGTGGCCCAGGAATTATCTCCTTTCTCAGGGACCACTTCGGGGCCAAGTTCATTATTGATGAGTCATGGATTCATCACTAATTCAGCCCCTCTGAACCACCAACTTATCAGAAGTATAAAGGAACCCAGTATAAGGGCTCTCCCCGAGTGAGGGATGATATCCCCCAGGAAGTTGGTCTTGGGATAAGAACCACCCACTACCTTTCTATAAGATAGTGAGCTCCCCATTATTATAGTATACAAGCAAAGGTTATGATAGGGATATGGTGGGCAGGGCAGACTACATGGAGTGGGGGAAGGGAAGTAGATTAGAGGAACCCTAAAGTCCCATACATCTCTGAGTCTCTGATTCAGTGTTTTCCCCCCCTCTTCAGTCCCAAGAGCTAATCGGTGGAAGCTGTATCATCTCAGGGTTTCAGCCTGGGATCTCATATTGGCTCCAGCTCCGGAGCAAGCCTGATGGAATCTCCCTCAAGGGTTTCTGGGGACCATGGTCATCTCCTGTAACAGTAACCCTGCCACAGGATGCAAGTGAGTCACCTGGGGGAAGGGAGGTTGATTGTGTAGAGGGACAGGGATGGGGAGAAAAGCAGAATTCTCCACCCACACACACACATACACACACACTATGCAGGAGAAGTTACTAGGGGATGGGGGGGGTGAGGAAGGAGGTTTGGGTGGGGCCCAGCACAGTCTCCCTCTCCCTGGCCCAGGGGAAATTGGGCTGCAGTGCTTTACTCAGGACCTGGAGCACATCACATGCCAGTGGCAAGGACCAGCCCATCCCACCGCCTCACATGGCTACTTCTACCACTGGAGACCCAGCAGCTGCCCTAAGAACAGGTGAGCAGGCAGGCATGAGCCAGCAGGGCTGGCAGTCTGGGTAAGGACTGGGGTAAGAAGAGGCCTGGGTCTAGGGTCACAGAGCTGCTCCAGTGAAAGATAATGAAGAGTCAACTCTCTCTCCTTTACCATCCCTGTGTAAGCCATCATCAAGCTGACCTGGCCACCATTCCTCTGCAAGGTCAATCAATCACCAAGCACTGATTAAGCATTTATGCTGTGCCAGGCACTGGGCTAAGCGCTGGGGATACAAAGAACATGCTCCCTGCCCTCAAGGAGCTCACAGTCTAGCCCGGAGACAAATAAGGAAACATACAGACACAATAGAAAGTAGATACACAGTAACCTCAGAGGAAAAGGCACTGGGAGGGGTGAGGGGGTTGGAGCAGGGCCAGGAAAAGTCTGGTGTAGAGAAGGCTGGGCTTGGGCTGGGTCTTGAAGGAAGAGAAGGATTCTAAGAAACAGAAGAGGGAAAAGTGCATTCTAGGCGTGAGGAGCAGCCAGTGCAAAGGCACAGAGCCCCATCTGAGGAACCCCAAAGCAGGATTATCGAGTGCATGAAGGAGAGTTATATGTTAAAAGGGTGGAAAGGTAGGAGAGCTGTAGTCAGACCCACACTTCAGAAAATCACTTTGGCAGTGAAGGACAGATGAGTGAGGATGGGTCTTAAGCCAGGGAGAACAAATAGGAGGCCGTGGCAATAGTCCATATGAAAGGGGATGAGAGCCTGACTAGGCTGATGGCTATGTGAGCAGAGAGAAGGGGAAAGTGAGATGTAGGGCTGGAAACAAAATCTGGCCACTGCTTGGATGTGTGGGATGAGAGAAAGGAAAAAGATAAAATAATAATAATAATAATGGCTCAAATGTATATGGTCCATTAAGATTTGTGGAGAGCTTTATAATGTTATCTGATCATAACAACAGTGGGGGGGGAGGTGTTATTATCCCCATTTCACAGATGAGAAAACTGAGGCAGATAGAGGTTGTGACTTGCTAAGGTCACACAGGAGAGGCAGGATTTGAATTCAGGTCATCTTGACTCCAAGTCTAGTGCTGTATCATGATTCGTGAACCTGGATAACATGGAAAACAGTGGTGCCTTTAACAGTAATAGGGAAGTATAGAAGAGGAAGAGTTTGGGGGACAAGGAATAAATTCCGTTTTGCACATATCAAGTTTGGGATATCTTTGAGGCCTCTTATTTGAAATATCCAATAGGCAGGGGGTGATATGAGACTAAAGCACAGCCTGGGGCTGGAGCTACAGCCAGTCTGGCTGGAGATGGTAATGTCTCCTCTGAGAATTAAACTAGGGAATGAAAAGTAGTTCATGAAACACTCACTCTGTGCAAAGTGCTGTAGGTACAAATAGAAAAGTGAGACAGCCCCTGTTCTTCCTGTGCTAATGGGTGAAGACAATATATATAGGAGGGCTCAGCTTCTAGTCAGCTGAGGAAAATGAGTCCTTAGGGGACAGTGGTCAGGCAAATGGTAACGCATCTTCTTTATGGTATCTTCTATCAGTAAACCCTCATTTGTTTCTGGTGCCAAGGACTTCTGGGGTAAGAACTTGTCATTTTCAGAGCTTTAGTTGCTGTGGCTTCTGGGAAGGCAGGGGCCACAACCCCCATGAGGCAGTTGTCAGGTCCCATCTCACTGTGGGGACATGGCTAGAAGCAGGACCTGGGATGGGGAGGGGTGCTGCTAGTCCCTGGTCTCGTGGCCTCAGACTCCTTGCAGAGTCTGAGGAAAGTGGTGGTCAAGGTGGTGGCCGTGGCTTAACCCACCTGGCATGTGCCAACCCCTGTCTCAACCCTCAGAACGCCTTGCTGCATTGTTCTTCAGTTAGAGTTGGTGGTAGTAGGGATGGAGGACCCCTTCTCCCACTAAGGTCGATATCATGGATAATGGCTAAGGAACTGAGCTGGAAGCAGAGACACTGCTAGTCCTGGGCCTTTGGATTTATTAAGAAAGATGATAGAGAAAGAAGCCCTCAAAGTTCCTTGCAAGAATCAGGCACTTGGGCCTGAGCAGGTCTGTTTGACTTCATGCCAAGGGAACTGATTAGTTTTCTCTGTCCTTGGGTCAAGTTAGGTCAAGTCAAGTGACACTTATTAAGTGTGCCAGGCTCTGTGCTTAGCACTGGAGGTCCAAAGAAAGGCAAAAAGCAGTCCCTGCCCTCATGGAGCTCACAGTCTACTGGGGGAGACAACAGGAAAATGACTACATGCCAACAAGATAGGCAGGCAGATAGAAAGAATACCAAGAGACAGCAGAGTCATGAAAATCTGCAGGGGGGAGGAGAGGGTGATTGATAGTGTCCAAAGTGTCAAAGAAGGATGAGATTTGGCAATCTGGAGATCACTGGTGTGGAGCCTGAATTTGCCCCCATTCCCAAAGGAGAGAAAGGGGGGCTGTAGGGCCCCCTAAGCCTGTCTTTGACGTTTAAGACTGGTATAATAACCCAGGTGGTGCAAGGGCAGTGCATCCTACCATCCAGCCCCTACCCTCAGACAGCTCACCTTCTGATGGAGGAGACGACATGCAAACAGCTATGCACATACAAAAAGAGACGCAGGGCAGATGGCAGGTCATCTGAGAGGGGAAGGCCCTAACACCTGGAGACACCAGGAAAGGCCTCCCAAGGATGAGATTTGACCTGAGTCTTAAAGGAAGCCAGGAAGTGGTGATGAGGGGGAGACCAGGGGTGGGGAATCTGTGGCCTCAAAGCATGTGGCCCTTTGACTAAATCCAAACTTCGAAGTTAAAGGGCCACACTTGAGGACCTAGAGGGCCTCATGTGACCTCGAGGCTGCAGTTTCCCCACCTTTTGGGTGGGGAACAAAGCCAGAACAAAGCATGGAGATGGGGGCTAGAGTGCTGTTCAAGGAACAGCAAGGAAGCCAGAGTCACTGGACTCCTGAGTACATGGAAGAGAATAAAGTGTAAGACGACTGGAAAGGTAAGAAGGACCAGGCTACAGAGGCCTTTAAGAGACAAACAGAGGGTATATTTGATGCTGGAGGTGGTAAGGAACCACTCAGTGTTAGAAAGTAAACGGAGTGATGCAGTCAGACTTGTGCTTCAGGAAAATCACTTTGACAGAGCAGGGAGGCCAGTTGGGAGACTATTGCAGTCATCTAGGTGTGAGATGATGAGGGCTTGTATCAGGGTGATGATTGTGTGAGTGGAGAGGAGATATAGATCAAAGTATATACACACACACATACAAAGTATATATATGTATGTGTGTGTATATGTATATGTATGTGTGTACATATATATATATATGCATATGGTGTTGTGAAAGTCATAACAACCTGAGGATAGATTGGATATATGAGCTGAATGCCAGGGAGAGGGGGAGGGTTAGGTGATAGGATATATCTGATAAGAATGGCCCTGGAGCCCAGGAGCCTTGAAAGCCTATCCTGGCTCCTGGGTCATGGTGGGGGGGTGGGGGTTTTTTCTCAGGGGCCCAGACTGGGAGAAATGTGAGAAGATGGACTCCAGGGCAGAGGAAACCCCAATCTCCCACTGCCACTTCGAGTCTCGAAATGACAGTGCCATTCACATACTGGTGGAAATAACCACTGAACTAGGCACCATCCAGCAATACCTTGCCACTCCCTTCTGGATGCATCAAATCGGTGAGAGATTCTATCCTGCCACCAGTGGCCCCTCTCCCAGACCCAGACTCTGCCACCACCTCCTCCTGCCTCCCAAACCTTTGCACCCCAACTCCCTCCTTCTTCTGGTCCCCAGCTGCTCTGAGGGATGCTCTCCATCTGCTTCTCCTGCCTCTCCAGTTCTCATTGAAGCTCCAGAGCTGCAGTGGACAGTCGGGTTCAACGGGCAGCTCAAGCTGACTTGGAGGCCCCCTTTGCCCTGGCTACCAGGGCAGACCCATTACCAGCTCCGATACTCTGGGCAGAAGCTGGGCCACTGGAAGGTAAGAGGGCCTCAAACTCTAGCCCCTTCCCTCCTGGCGCTGGTCTCACTGCCTCATCACCAGGTGTGCCAGGGCAAGCTGGGAGTTCGGGCACTGTGTGTGAACCTCAGGTTGTGCGTGTATCAGCGTGTGTGTTTAGGCTCTCAGCGGGTGTCCCGGTGTGGCAATAGGAAGGTCAAGATGTATCAGTATGGGTGATTGGGCGTTACGTGTGGGAGCGTTAGGGTGTATTCACGGGAGGGAGGTGAGTGCAAGCGCATCTGAACCGCTGGGCACGCGCGTGTCAAGGTGTGCGTGGGAGTGTGTGTGGCAGTAAGGCTGTGTCAGGGAGGGCAGGCGTGTAGAAGCGCTTATAGGGCAGAGAACGTGGAAGCGTGTGTGAGAAGTAAGACATAGGTCAGGACAAAGGTGTGTCAAACTCCCCCCCTCGTCCACGGGCGAGCCTACACGCTGACCAATCAGACACCTAAGAAGGCCTCTGTCCCCGCCCCATCCGCATTGGTCTGTGCAGGTGCTGGAACCTCCGAGGGGCGCGCTGGGAGAAACACTGGAGCTCCGGCCCGGGGCGCAGTACCGATTGCAGCTGCGCGCGCGGCCTGACGGCCCCACCTATCACGGACCTTGGAGTGCCTGGTCTGCGCCTGCGCTCGTGGAGGTTGCTCCAGAGAGCGGTGAGAGGCAGGGACGGGTAGGGCTGGGGCTGTGCAATACGCTCCTTGGGGCGCGGTAGGGCGGGTGCGGCTGCGTACTGTGGAGAGGGGACGGGTCGGGGGCTGGAGCCCGGGACTACGGTTGCACAGCGAGGGAGAGGGCGGAGCTCTGGGCCCAGCAGTTCTGACCTCCGCGACCTGGACCCCCTGCCAGGCTGGGTCTCCGTGGTGACGAGCGTGGTGCTGACGTTGGGCTTCGGCGGCCTCGTGGGCCTCGTGTTGCGGCGCCTCTTCCCGGCGCGATTCAGGTACGGGCCCTGCCTTCTGGCGCGTGCGCGTGCTTGACCACTCTGTTTTCCTCCCTTTCTCCGGCCTGGCCCGGATACAGATGGATACAAATGGATACAAAGTGGCAGCGGGAGGAGCCCTCCTATGGAGGCAGACCTTAGCTCACTGGAGTCTGAGGCCGACCGAGCCCCTGAAGATTGAAGGGGGCCAGGGGTGGGAGAGCATTCCAGGAACGTGAGGCAGACAGTGCAAAGGCAGCGATTGAAAGGAAGGCAATGCTATAGTCCACCGAGTAGAAAGGCAGGGAAAGACCAGATGGTGAAGGGCTTTGAAGGCCCCAGAGACGAGTTTATTATCCTGCAGGCAATAGGGAGCCACCGAGGTTTGTGGAGTAGGGACTGTCAGGGTCAGATAAACCTGGATAATTTGGAGTCTGTGAACTTAGTGTGTTTGGGTTTTTTTAATAGCTTGATAACTATTTTCACATGATGGGCTTCCTTTGTAACTATGTGTTTCCTTTTATGCTCTTGAGAACAATGTTGCGGGAGGGTCCGTGACACCCCCATTTAGTAACCCTCTTAAAGGTTCCAGAGCAGAACCTGTTCTGGATGGTTAGTTTTGCTCTTTGGAGTCATTGCTTCCCTTTCTAGCTGACTACAAACCATTTTAATGACCCAAGTCTACCTCCCCAGCCCTAAGCTCTCTCCTGACTCCAGTCTTCATCACCTGCTGCCTTGGTAGCCTTATGAGATCCAACTACCGGGCTTCCTTGTCGTATCTCTCACACACAGCCTTCTAATCCCTTACTGTTCCTGGACAGCTCCAACTGGAAGTCCCATAGTCATCTCAAAGTCAACACATCCTGGACACAACTCATTATCTTTCGCCCTCCAACCTTCTTCTCTTCCCGATTTCCTTATTACCGTGCAGGGCACCACCATCCTCTCGTCATTCAAGCACTCAGTCTTGGTTGGACATCTTCGACCTCTCATTCTCTCTTACCCCTCCCCTCACACCTAATGTGTTGCCAAGGGCTTTCCCCCTTTCTGATGCTGCTACCTTCCTCATCATCTCAGGCCTGGACTGTTGCCTGCTTGTTGGTCTCCCTGCCTCTCTCCCCACTCCATTCCTTCCTCTCATCAGCCTCCAAAGTGATCCTCCCAAAGGCCAGGTCTGACCATGTCATCCCCCCACCCCCACCCCAGTCAATCCCAAGGGCTCAGAGAACCAAACACCAACCCTTCTGTTGAGCATTTGAAGACTTCTCCAATCCAGCCACTTTGGTTTACTGTTTCCCACATTCAGCCCTCCAGTTCCTAACTGTACCTTTGCCCAGGTTGGCCTCCATACCTACCGCGCTTTCCCTCCTCACCTTTACTTCTTTTGTCTCTCAAGATTCAGCTCAAATCTTACCTTCAGGAGGCCTTTCCCAGCCTCCTAGCTGCTGCTTGAGCCCTCCTCTAGTATCTACTTTGTGTGTCCTGTGTACAGAGTTGGAGAGTCAGATGATAAACATTTATTAGGCACCTGCTGTGTGCCTGGCATTGTGCTAAATGCTAGGGAAACAGGTACTAAAAAGAAAGTGTCCCTGCCTTCAGGGGGCTTACAGTCTAATGGGGAGCTGGGGGTGGGGAGAGGGTACCCTCTGGGCCATGATGGAGTAGAGAGCTAGGTGAGAAATGAGGAGAAGTCTGTCCTGGATTGCTCCTTAACTGGAAGAGTAGGCCTGTGAGGTCATTGTACTGAATAGGAAACTACCAAGTAAAGAAACTCCATCCACCTTCTGCAGGTCTCACTTTCTCTGCAGCTCACAATCCTAGAGTTGTCTGGGGGGCTGAGCTGTCCACTGACTTGCCTGAGGTCATAGCCAATGGATATCCAGAGACCCAAATTGGCCTTCTTTGCTCTGTGGCCAGCTCTCCAGCCACTGGGCCACGAAGGCTTCCCTCCTCCATTAGAGCAGGATCCCTTTGAGAGCACAGACACCTTCTGCTTTTCCTTTGGATTCCCAGGGTAAGCACTATGCTTGGTATATAGTAGGTGCTTAATCAATGCTTGCTAATTTTCCCTGGAATCAATCGAACTCCCTAGGCTGTGGCTTGCAGACAGTAGTCCCCTGGGTCTCCTCCATGTCTCTGGGTCACTGCCAGGCCAGGTGCTCCAAAGTCCTATCTGCCAGTTGTCTCAGGACCTGAGCAGTGATTTTCTCCCTCTCCAGCCTAGGTCCTGGAAGGAATCTAGGGCAGTCATAGTTGCCAGATTGTTCTATCCTCTGTGCAAAAGTCATTCAGTGCCACAAATGTATCAATTCCCTGCTGTTAGGCCCCATGCAGACAAAAGCCAACCTGTACCTTCAGCCCCCAGGGGCTGCCATTGTATACCCAAGTAAGGAAATACTGAGCAAAGATCTAGGGAGGCCACTTTGCTGACACTGGGGTGTTGTGTAGGAGGAAGAGGGAGCAGTCTCATTTCACCAGATAGGGACAGTGGACAGGGAATAATGTGAAATAAAGACAGAAAGGTAGACAGGAGCCAGCTTGGTGGTGAAGCTCTCTTTCTCTCCAAGGTGGCCCCCTCTTTGAGGCCTTCATCTCCCAGTGGTCACCACTCAGCCTTACTTCTTGCCTGGGCTATTGTAGTAACCTCCTCATTGGACCCCCTGGATTCCAAGATCTCTCTCTCCAGCGCTTTCTTCATCAAAATTACCTTGCTAAATTAGCTCAGCTCTGACTGTGACAGTTCTGTCTGAGAAGCTTTGGGGACTTGGCACTGCCTTGAGGATTCACTTTTCAGTCTGGCTGCAGATGATCCTTCCAGCCATGTCCCATTACTCCCCCTCAGCCTATCTGGCCTGCTGGCTCTGCCGTGATCACTACCCTTAGCTTCTCCCGCTTTTGGCCTGCACCTCTGCTCTCTCCTGTTCCTGGAATGATCTTTCTTCTCCCCTTCACCTCTTAGAATCCCTGGGTTCTGGCAAGAACCCTTTCCCCTCTGGCCCTCCACATCCTTAAAGTATCCCATACATGTTATATCTCTTCACTCCATTCCCTGCCCCCAGACTCTAAGCCCCTGGAGGGCAGGAACTGCAAATGCCTGGCCCCAGGGGATGCTTCATAAACCAGGTTGTACTGTATTGTTTGGGACAGACTTTCTCTGCAAACACCTGTGTCCTTGGAACTCACCTTTATTTTCTTTGAACACGTAGATATTTGCTCTCTTTTGTCCAGCCCAACCCCCTCCTCCCCTCTGTGAACTCTCAGATGAAGGGCCAGCCTTTGGTTAGAGCCAGGCCAAGTAGCTCCCTCCTCACATCTGCCACCTCTCGGAGAATGAGCCATCATTCAGGCAGCGTACAAGTTTATCACTTGCCTTGCTTTTAGCAGAGAGAAATCACAGGCCCTATTAAGCTTTCAGCAAGCAATTATTAAATGCCTGCTGTGTGCTCAGCAGTGTGCAAAGCAGAAAATACCATATAGGCACAAGGTCATTTTGGAGGAAGACACTGTTGCGGTCTGAGAGGTTGAAACCCCTCAAAGACTGGAGTACAAGATGGGTTGTCTGGAATGAATTCACAGACTCAAACATTCTTTAAGTAAAGGTGGCAAAGATTTATTGTTATGCTTTTCAGTGGGCAAGGATTCTTAAAGAACCTGCGAGAGACAGATGGAGCTAGGGTTTATATGGAAAAGGGCATGGGAATGCCAGGGATAGGTGCAGGTGTCTTTGGGAGCTATGGATGGGAAAGTACAGGGAGTATACCAGACAGGGAGGAAGATGACAGAGGTATGGATCTTGGGAGTCTGGCAGGAGGAAGAGCCCTTGGACCAGCCAAGGACAAAATTCCTTGGGCTGGGCAAGGCACCCCTCTCTCTCTGTCTTGATGAGAGAATGCTCTGCAACAAGGGAAAGCTTTCTCACAAGACAGGAACTTACTAAGGAATTGGGAGGCTTCCAGAGACATGATCTGAGGGCTGGGGCCTGAGCAGCCCAGCACTCTCTCACCCAGCTTTGTGTAGCCTCCCCAGGGAGAGATATAAGCGTCTTGCTGGGGCCCGTGCATGAGTGATTGCTAGGCACAGTGTCCTTGGGCTGGGGAGTGATTGTCAGAGACAGTCTGAGACTAGGGAGAAATTGGGGTCCAAGTACAAGCACAGGCACCCAAACACGAGCACCCAAGCACCCCATCAAAACAAACAAAACCCTGCACTGGTAGCTGGAAGCTCAGATCTGGAAAGGATAAAGTGCTTGAGCTGAGCTTTGAAGGAAAGTAGAGATTCTAAGAGATGGAGATGAGGAGGGAGGGCATACCGGGCATGGGGCACAGCCTGGGCAAAGGCCTAGAGACAGCAAATGGAGTGTCATGTGTGAGGAAGGTCAGGGTAGGTAGCCTAGAGTGTGTGGAGGGGAATAATGGGAAGGGTAGGTTGTGAAAGGTTTTCAAAGCCAAACAGATGTAGGAGTTCTGCTCTTTATCCTAGAGGCAAAAGAGGCCACTAGAGTTTTAGTAAGGAGTGAAGGGGGTAAGAGCTGAGCTTTGGCATGTCAAGTTAGCAGCTGGGTGGTGGTAGGGCTAGAGGGGTGAAATGTGAGGCAGGCAGGCCGAGAGGAAGAGCTTGCCCTAGGTGAGGTGAAGAGGGTAGCGGCTAGGCCCTTGGAGCAGAGGGCTTGGATCCAGAAGATGCGCCATGGCTGTCTGAGGGAGGGAGCGTGGGGTGAGGAATCGTTGAGGATGACCCCAAGGGTGCGAGCCTGGAGGACTGAAAGGATGGTGGTGCCCTGGACAGAAGAGGGCAGGGTTTGGGGAAAAGTTGAGGACATGCGGAGTTTGAAGTGTCTGCAGGAAACCCAGCTGGCCAAGGCCAGTAGCCACTCCCCTATCCTGCCTCAGTGCTATCAGGCCAGTCTGTTTCCTCCTTCTGGCCCTCCGTGCATGCCCCCCACAGCCACGGCACTCTCTTCCTCCTGCTGGGGGCTTCCTTCACCCATGCTTCTTCCTTGAGCGTCCTGGTTTTCCTCACCT